ACAATAACAATAATAATAATAATAATAATAATAATAATAATAATAATAATAATAATAATAATAATAATAATAATAATAATAATAATGTAAAAAATAATAGAAATTGAAATGTCTAAAAAAAACTATATGACATCATCACAACAAATTAGTTTATTAGATTCACCGAAAAAACCATGGTCTCATACGTTGAAAGATCAAATGGTGCCAACCAGTGGAGATGTAAATGCATTGTTTTCAGTATTGTTGGATAACCTTGCCAATATAGCTTCGATGGTATCCATCTTGGTTGCATTTGGAATGCCCATGGATTTTGTAGCACGATATTTTGTCCCAGGTCCAGCGATTGCTGTGATGCTTGGATCCTTGTCCCTTTCGTTTTATTCGATTTGGTTGGATCATAAATCAAATGACCCATCTGTTCTCTATACATCCATTCCAATTGGGTTGGATGCACCCACGACAATCGGTCTCCCATTACTGGTGGTTGGACCTGCCTTTCTTCGTTCACTCGGTGCTGGTAATAGCACTCACGACGCTTCAATGGATGCTTGGTTGGCTGGATGCACAACGGTATTTTTAATCGGAGTATTCAAGGTACTATTGTCTCTATTAAGTTTTGCTCAAGGCTACTTTCACCCGGTTGGAAAGGCAGGAGCTCTTGCAGGTATTGGATTGGCTCTCTTGGGTTTAAACCAACTCTTGACAATCCTCGAGGAACCAGTTGCAGGTTGGATATCGCTCTGGGTTCTCTTTTTGCTATTATTGCACAGAGTAAACAAGACAAATGGCCTCCCGATTAATATACAGCTCCCCTTTAACCTTTCAGGCGTTTTATTGTCTGCTGTTATTGGCTCGCTTATCTACTATGTCATGGCCGCCGCCAAGATTTCTGTTATTCCCATGCCAACCGACATTCTATCAAACTATGTCGTGTCATATCCCCATCCTGCAGACATTTTTAGTAGATTTGCATCAACCATTCAACAAAACATCTCTATTGCCATACCCTATGCAATTTTGGTAAACATTGGTGGTTTGACCATTTGTGACGCTGCAGTCACCGTCGGAAACAATTACAACACCCGTGTTGTTCTTCTCATTGACTCTGCCACTACAATCATTGGTAGTTTTCTTGGTGCCGTTACCCAAACCACTCCATACATTGGACACACCGTCTTTCATCAAAAGTTTAAGGCTCGCTCTGGATACTCGGTCATCACTGGTGTGATTATTGGTTTGGGAGGTTTTTTGGGCTACATCTCCTTCCTCACAAGCATTTTACCAAAACCAGCCATCATTCCTATTTTTATATTTATTGCTTTTGAAATTTGTTCAGAGACATTCCATGGAACCTTGTCTGGCATTTTTAGACATCATGCACCAGCCATCGTTTGGTCATTCTTCCCAGCTCTCTTCCAATTTGTAAATATTATCCTCAGTCAAATTTCTCCCACACTCTCTGACAGTGTCATTGACCCACAAAAGGTTATAACAAGCCTTGGGCTTGCACCCAACGTTGTCTCTATGGTCTCGGTCATCATCGTACTTGCTCATGGATTTATTTTAACAAGTTTACTCTGGGGAACCTCTTTGGGCTATATATTGGACAATCAGTTGGCAAAGAGCGCAATCTTTTTGGCAATCACTGCATTTGTAACTTTCTTTGGTGTCATCCATAGTGTTAATCCAAATGGAGAGGTTTATCTTCCTTGGAATTCTGGATCTAATCTACCTTATCATTGGTCAGCTGCTTATTTATTGTTGGCTATCATTACCTATGCCTTTTCTTTTTATCAACCAGATCAATCAAAAATTAATTTAAATGATTTGGAAAATAATCTTAATAATAATAATAGTAGTAGTGATAATAATGATGGTAGTACTTTGGATATTCAAAACCATTTTCAAGAAAAAAAATTTTAAAAAAATTAAATAAATAAAAAGTTTCGAAATGGCAAAAGGAAATGATGATCTCTTTTCAAAAACCATTTTCGAAAAATGTCCTTTTTAGAAGAGATAAAAAGTAAAAAAAGATTAAATCAGGTCAATACTATTGTAACTAGAGTTGATGGTTCAAAAGTTATCATTTCTTCAGAGGGCGAAGAGATTGTATATACTGATGACTCTTTGACCAACTATGGGTACATAGTTGATACAAAACCAGACGAATTGGCACATCAAATAGATTTATCATCTTTGACGGATCTGAATTCAATAACAGATTTATCGCCTTTGTTTAAACTATATATTGGAAGTCAAGATGCTGCACACAACAAAAATGAATTGACAAAAAAATCGATCACCCATATTTTAAATGTTGGCTATGGAATTGATAATATCTTTCAAAAAGATATAACCTATCTCAGTATCAATATATTGGACAATGTCGATGTTGACATTACAAAGGAATTCCCTCGGGCATTTCAATTTATTGAACAATCTTTTGACAATGGAGCAACAGCCTTGCTTGTGCACTGCAACGCAGGTATTTCGAGATCATCAACTATACTTGTAGGATTTCTAATGAACAAATTTAAAATACCAATGCAAAGGGCCTTGGATGTGGTAAAGGAAGCAAGACCTTCAATTAAACCAAATTTTGGTTTTATCAAATCTCTATTGGAATATGAGAAAGAAATCTTGTTGTAATAATAAAAACTACATATATTTATTTAGTACAGTATTCAAACTTTGGGTTTGTTGTTGAAAGACAAGATTTGCTTTTGATTGTTGAGGAGTTATAGATGTGGAATTAATTCTTGTTGAAGTTCTTTTTACACTTGTTGTTTGTTTTGATTCGTTTGTCATTGATTTTACAATTTCAAATAGAGCTTGTGATTTTCTAAAAAAAAGGTTTTAATAAATATCAATATATATTTTTTTTGTTTGTTTTTTTACATACTGTTGAACTTGTTGTTTACCAGATAGATCTGATAAAGTAGGATCAGGTGATTGTAGGGTGGAAACAAAACAATTATCAAGTTCTTGAATGAAAATTGGGATACAAGAGGAAAGAGTTTCATAGAAATCGGTTGGAATATTGGCCACAAAGACATTTGAAAGAATTGAAATGGCTGTGAGAAGTGGGGTGGAGAATCTTTCAGAGTCCCATGGTCTTACTTTGTCTCTTTGTTGACTTGCCTTCATATAGGCAAGGAAATCGGGTGTAAATATTTCGTATAGTTCATTCAATTCCATATTGAATTCAAATCCATCGCACACGGGCAAAAGATTCAATAATACGATAAAGAACTGATCGTAAATGAATGATTCTGCCAATATCGATAGATAGATACGGTTAAATGACATGGATGCCACGATTGGTGGCCTATTCTTTGAAGAAAAGTCAATAATATCTTCTTGGTCATTGCTTCCATCTGAAACTGGTGTTGGTGACATTAGGATCTTTGTAAAATCTCTCATATAGCTGATTTGTTGTGTGATTGCTTCATGTGTACCAAAGTGTTCATTGATTTTACTTTCTTCAATTTCTGATGGTTCTTTTAAAGCTATAGAAGCATTTGACCGATTCAGTCCTGTGTTGGTGGTGGTGGTAGTTGGTGGAGATGTTGTACTGACAGTTGTATTGCCCCTTGTTCTCTCGGGTGGGGATATTTGATTTGATGCTTTTGTTGTTGTTGGTAGTGGGGAGGAAGATATAGAAGAACCACCAGGTTTTGTTAAAGGTGATTTAATCAACAGATCTGTTGAAGATGATAAATGAAATGAATCATTTGATGATCCAAGAAGGTTATCAGTTGGGGAGGAGGGAGAAGAGAAAATAGAGGGATAAAACAAAACTCTTAAAATTGGAGAGATAAAGTTAAGTTTGTTTTTAAAGATATCCGAGAGTTGGTTGACAAAATTATAACATTTTACAATATCATAATTCATCAAAACGAGAACCACGTCTATGATTGTTTCCAATCTGATTGATAGGTGATCCCCACGAAGTGTCATTAATATTTCTCTTTCAATCTCTAATAATTCCTCTCCACTACAATTTTTTATATGTTTTTGGATATCCAAACTAATTTTTAAATCCTTTATCTTTGTCATTAAACTGGTTGTTAACTAAAAAAATAATATTAATAAATAAATTTTTAAAAAAATAAATAAATACTCTTTCTTCTTACTTTGGTATTAAACTTTTCATAATAAAGTGGAGGAATAAAATAAGAATAGGATTCCATATTTTTAATAAATTCTTTTCTCATATCAACTTTTGGTGCATTTGATTTAAGAACATCGGAAAGAGTATCTTCAAGAGTGGTTTGGAAACACAAGGATAATAAAGTGTGTGCTTTTTCTATTTGATTATTTCTAGAATGTTTGTTGGCCAAAATGATAGCTTTTTCAAATCCACTTACAAACTCTCTGTGGTAAATTAATCTTTCAACTCTTTTTTCAGCTATTTCATTAGAGTCTTGGAATCTATAAAAAAAAAAAAAAAGAGGGAAATGAGAATGAGAGAAAAGTATCAAACATTTTCAATTTACATACTTTGAATGAATAAAAGGGTTCATAAACTTTTGTGATATTGAAGAGTAGGTTACATCACCATTTTGATTAACAGAGAAATTATTATATCCATCTTCAAGGAAAAAGGAGCCATAGGTGTATGGTCCACCTTCATCTCTTTGGTACAATAAATATTGAGGTGGCATTGAAATGTTCCACATATTAAATGAACAATCAAATCCACTACTAACCATCAATTCACTATGACTTGGACACCAATTAATCTATAAACAAAAAAATAAAAATAAATTAATAAATTAAAAATAAGATTTCTTCTTCTTCTTCTTCTTCTTTCTTTCTTTACATTTGTAACAGGTCCATTATGAGCATAAAAAGATACAACTGGTTTTGAAATTGATCTAAGATCAAATATTTCAATTGCACCAGAATCAGTGGCACTTGCCAACCAATAGGGTACAAAAGGATGCCAAGATACGCAATTGATGTTTCCTTGGCACTGAGAAGTGCTCCACGATACAGGTGACTTGTTTTTCAAACCATAACTACTTAGTTGTCTTTGATCGAGTACTCTGATCGTGTTGTCATCTCCACCAACAGCACAGTGATGTCTACTATGTCTTGACCAATCTAAACATTTCATTGGAGAATCTGATGCACGATACGATACGATTGGTTGTACAGGGTTGGCAACATCCCAAATGTGAAATGATTGATTTTCAACACATGCAAACGTAGATGGTGATAATGTGTTGATTGATACACCTTTGATAGAAGTACTTGTAGAACAGCTGCCTATTGAAAATGATCCTTCTCTCAGACCCTTTAGTTTGGTAATCGTATAGGTCTCTTGAAGTTCAATGTCGACCTCTCCACCGGTTGAAAGTGGATCGCAGTTGTACATGTATATCTGTCCATCCAAACCTGATGCTAAAAGCATACCATCATACCAAGAGGCACTTTTGATACTGTTTGCATTCTCTTGAATTCCTTCTCCAACAATCTTCCATTTAGTATCATTGCTGTTCTTTGTAGGTGGAAGAGATTGTGTTTTTTTATCTTCCTTGTTTAACTTTACTATTCTAATTGCATCTCTTTTGGGTGATGTATCAAATAATACAACATGATTTGTTTTCTACAATAAAAGAAAGGTATAAACAACAAAACAATAAAAGATGATTGTATAACATGACACTTTACATTGTGAGATACTGCAGTTGATATATGTTCGATTGATCTATCATTGATATGTATGTTTTCAATTAGTTCCTTTTTATATCTTCTACCACTATGTAGAACATTCTTTCTCCATAATGAACTTGCTGGTAATAGTTCTTGTTGTACCATCCCTCTCTTTTTAGATAATACTAATAACGAGAGAAAACAATATTAAATTGCTTTTGATCATTCAACCTCTTGAGTTTTTTTTTTTTTCCATAAATTAAATTAAATACTTTTTACGCTTTTTTCATTAGAAACATTGGTTTTACCACCTGACATAAATATTAAAAGAATCACAAAATTTATCTTTGTTTCCAATAGGTTGAGATTGTCTTGAAATTAATTTTAATTAAAATTTGGTGACATATTTGACTAAATCCTATAGTTTAACTCTGTTGGTTTAAAACTTTGATTATTCCATATTACATTGATATTATTATGGTGTGGTAATAAAAGAATTAAAAAAACAACCTTTATTACATATTTATTGGAGCCTATGAGGGGACTGGTTTTTTTTGTGCAATTTTTATTTTTTGTAAATTTTATAGTTTAGCTCTCTTGACTTGAAACGATTACAATATGATAGGAAATGATCTGAATTTTGTGCAGACATCAAACTTGCTAAAAAAACCAACATTTTAAATAAAAAATTAGTGATTTGGTTGTTTGGTTTTAGATTTTCAAATTTTTATAGTTTGGCTCAATTAACTTCAAACTTTGGTATTCCCATTGGACATTGTTTTGGTAAGTAAATGAATTATTTTAATTTTTAAAAAGCCTTTTTCAATATTTTATGTGTGTCCTCTTGGTGTTTTTTAATTTTTTTAAAAACATTTTCAAGTAATATAATTTCACTCATTTGACTTGAAACTTTAAATTCTATTTTTAAAATTATTATTAAATACTATCATTTAAGATATGGAGTCAAAAGTATTCCACAAAATAACCTTTATCTCAAATTTTAAAGTTGTTTAGTCAATTGTTCAATAACTTTAAATTTAACTTAATTGATATGAAAGTTAGATATTATCTATATATTATTATTTCAAACATTATGGTATCATTTAATTAAAATATTAAACAAAATTCATTCAAAAAAATATTAATTCTTTTGAGATAAAATTTCTATCTTTGTCAAATTTGATTTTAAAATTTTTTAAACAATACGCTCACTCATTAATTTTGTTCAAAATATGCAAATATACTATTTTTAAAAAATCGAGTTTTTAAAAAATGAAAACAAAAATATAAATATAAATATTTTTAAAATAAAATATTATTTTTCAATAGCCTCAATTGTCTATTATTATGAAAAAAAAAATTTTGATTCACGAGCTTATTTTTTGAAAAAAAGTGGTCATGGCATGAGTCGATCCAAAATCAAAAAAAGTTCAAAAAGGGCAAAAGTTGGCATGAATAGTTTTTACTTTTTTTAGATGAATCAAAGAATACAACTAGTAAATATATACTGTTTAAAATATAAAAATATTGAATAGGTTTAAAAAAAATTATACATGTTCACAAAAAAAAAAATATTTAAATTTTTGGTTTTTTTGTTTTTTTTGGTTCCAATAAAGTTGGAATTTTAATAACTTCCTTATTTTTTATTGATTGTTGTCCAATTTTAAATATGTTATATAAAACACTCACTCCCATCTATATTGTTACTTTAAATTGTTTAATATAAACTTTTGTAAATACTTCAATTTCAAGTGCTTTTCCATTTTTTAAATATCTTTTACAAATACTTATGGAAATTCATTTCCTTTTGGAAAACATAATGCTAATTGTTGTTTTACAGTACTGTAGTAGAATATCACATCGGAAAATTGGATATGATATGAGTTAATTTTTGGAAAAATAGGTATGAACAGATACAAAAAACATGTGCCTTCAAATTTTATCAGGGCACATGTTGCGTACCAGAATTATAGTATGGACACTGGTAAGTTCAAATTCGGATCTTGTAAGTCGATTGGGGAGATCCTTAAAAATATTTTAATCTCGTGGTACTTGAACGTCAGACCTGCCAAAATTGCTTTTTTATTTTTCAAATATCTTTGACAAATACTTATGGCAGTTAAAACTTATCTAACCCCTTCTGTTAGTTTGACCCCTGCTGTCAGTTTGACAGTTGTGTCAGATTAATATCAGATCGAGTGAGCTTTATCTAGGGGTAGGGGTTGAAAAAAAGAATATTAAATATTTTAAAAACAAAATTATGGGATAATCATTAAATTCGATATATAATATAAATATTATATTTTTATAAAATAAAAATGGATAAAATTTTACAAAGTCTAAAAAAAAAAAATTAAAAAAAAAGGTCATAATTCTCTTAAAATTGAATATAAAAAAAGAGCTTATATTTGAAATATATTGGTACATGTAGGAAAAATGAAATAAACAAATTTTGAACATTTATAAAAGTTAAATAATGGTACTTAGAAAATTTCATTTGAAAAATATAATCTTTAGATGACTTCAAACGCATTTTTCTATCTTCTTTGTATAATACAATATAAAATAAAATATAAAATAAAAAACTAAGATTTTAATAGTATAAAAGTTCGTTCTATAAGCAATTCATAGGTCTAGGTCCAGGTCCAAAATTTTATTATAATGATTTTATGACAAAATAAGTTTATAATAGAGTAATAAACCATATTAACATACTATTTTAAGAGTTTGAAGTAAATCCAAAGGATTATTATTCTTCAAAAATCATCAAAATATTTCTAAGTATCAAGTATTTTCCTCACAAAAATTAAATTTTAGAACTTCAAATTAAAACATAACTCCTGATATTTACGATAGATATATACATATTTATACTACTTTCACTCAAATTAATACTTAAAAGTACAATTATCTTAGATAAAAGTACCAATAGTTACGACAGTCTCATAATAACTCAACTTTTTATAGTTCAATCCTAACAGGTCGGGAGTTCGATTCCCAATTACGACATTGATATATACATCAACATGTTAGTGTATTGGGGTGATTGTAATCAATGGGTTCTATAAGCTGCTACCAGGGCCAGGGCCAAGTTTAAATTTTTATATTGTACTCCATACTAAAATATAAGTATATTTATGAGTATATCACACCAATTAAATAACTTTTGAAGAGTTTGAGGTAATTCCAAAGGATTATTTTTCACCAAAAAAAACCAAAAATTTTCTAAGTATGAAAATCCTTGTTGTAATTCTATACCTAACTATTAATACCCCAAGTGTATATTTTAGTAAATATTATACTAAAACAACTACGCTATCAAATGAATTCACTTATAAACTGCATTTATAGATTCATTCACATCAAAAATTTGGTGGCCCTCTCCGTTTTCAGATTACTTGTTCAATTCTATAATGAACAAACAATGAACAAAAAATGAACAAATGGGACTAATCTGGCTTCTATATCACCAATACCAGGCTCCAAATTTGAAGTTGGTGTCAGTAGGTACTTATTTAGTTGCACTTTTTTGGTTTCGATCCCAAATTTGGAGGTTTACATTCCACATACCAAATCACTATCACAGAATGGTTTTTTATCGGACAGGTTGATCAGGTACAGGTTGGAAAAGTGTCTAGGTTGTCCGGTGACCTACATATATGCAAAGATTTGCTTGGCCCTAACTATAAAACGGACACTATGACCCTCATTCCGATACTGAAAAATCATGTGGTTATTATGGGGTAAATTCAGTTTTGGTGAAATATTGTACCACAATATACCAGAATGCGTATAAAACTTAGCCTAATATAGAATATATTCCTCATCTATCCTATACTACACCCTCACACTCAACAATAATATCTTCACCAATATTAACAACACACTCACCAACCAGATCGATTCTAGATAACACGAATCATCGCATCAACAACACCCCAACCGCTAGTGGTGTCACCCTATACGAATTCGGTTAACCATCGCACATGTGGTTCGTAAAAGAGTCTAACAGGTTCAATCAAGGAAAGCCACTCGCAAGAGTGACTTTAGTTTTTAGTTTTGATGGATTCGATCATACAGATACAGATAGATATTGAAGCCAGGGCTCCGAACCGTCATCTTGGTTCGGTTTGACAATACCAAGATCCAAACCGATAGCATCGGTTTAGTCCAAATAGCATCGGTTTTGTCATTTTATTGTAAAAGCAAACCGTTGAAACTATGGACGGTTTGAAGATTGTTAAAATTAAATCCAAACCAATCGGTTCAGATCAGTTTCGGTTTCAGTCAAAATCAGTTTATTGGACCTCAGTTAGGAGCCCTGATTGAAGCATAAGACATGCCTCAAACTAACCCATTCTCACCCATTCTCACCCATTCTCATAATGAACCATATAAAGGTACTATGGCCCTAACTATAAAACTGATACTATGGCCCTAACTATAAAACTGATACTTTGGCCCTAAACTATGAAACTGATACTATGGCCCTGACTATAAAACTGATACTTTGGCCCTAAACTATGAAACTGATACTAATGGCCCTGACTATAAAACTGATACTATGGCCCTAAACTATAAAAATTAACATCTTCAGATATTATATTAGTTTTTTTTGCATTTAAGTTTATTCATAAAATTTTTTAAAATATTTGTTTATATCAGTTTATAAAATGGGTTATTTCTATCTTTTCGCAATTTGATAGTTCTTTTTTGTGTTTTGTCCATGTTGGGAGGAGGTATTATCTTGAAAATATTCAAAAAAACATCCCCATAGGTTTTCATAACTTTTCTAAGTCCTTTAATTCGGAGGTTTAAGTTTACATCAATGAATTTTATACATTTTGATTCTCCAAACATCTCTATCCATTTGAACACATAGTTATTCACTTTCGATTTTCCAATATAGTAATATTTTGAAAACGCATCATCAGCACTCATTTTGCGTAAATCTTGGTCTTTTTGCATATATCCAGGTTCAATGAAACTATTATAAAATGATCTGTCAAAGATATGCAAACAATCATCCAATATTGGTTTAAAACTAAATAATGATAAATTAGATATATAAAATGTCAAAATGAAAATCTGAAGAAACATACCTTTTAGATGACATCAAAGCTATTACAAAATCTTTCACCATTGAAGCAATTAATAAATGAATTAAAAATTGTTCGCTTTCTTCAATTTGATAATCTTTTTTATAGATTCTATGTAGGGAATCATATAAAATTCTTACATGACCAATTTTATCAAACAAAGTTTGAGTATTTTCGTCAGTATTGTGGTTGGAATCGTTATTATTATTACTTGAATTGTTATTATTATTGGTATTGTTTGTTTCATGGATTTCATTAATGAAATTGTTCGAATCACTAAATCGATCGTTATGGTTGATTAAAGGGTTATTATAATTATTATTATTATTATTATTATTATTATTATTATTATTATTATTATTATTATTATTATTATTATTATTATTATTATTATTATTATTATTCTTTTTACTTGAATTATTATAGGTATTGTTATTTAAATTATAATTATTATTGTTCGATTTGGTATTTGATACATTTTTTCTTTCCATTTTTCTATAGTTTTGTTGTTCTAGTTGCCACCTATGATATTTTCTCATTTCAAAAGTATTACTTAAGATAGTTTCAAATGATAAATAATTTAAGGGATAGTTGTAGTTGTTGATTAATTGAACTCTTGTCTTTGAATTTCTAGGATTGAAGTCGATCTTATAGCTACTATATAAATCCATTTTCTTTAAAGTAACTTTGTAAAATCTTTTCATCCATTCCTTAAGTTCCAACATTGATTCTTTATCATCCTGTGGATCGATATGAAGAAAAATCTTCTTGTATAAGTGAGATAAATTTACTTTACCAATGGATAGATGCAAATCTTCTCCATAAAATGGTTTTGAAAACATAGACCTATTAAAACAATAAAAACCATGATCTCTATTACAAAATTTTTCCACTGTTTTTGAAAGGAATTTATCATCATCAAAGTCTAATCTTCTAAAAACACCATTCAATAATTTTATAAATATATAAATATTTACAAATATACTTTGAATTGGTTGCTGTGTTAAAAAACTAGAAACAAAATGATTAGGATATGTATCATATTTTCCATCTATCTTTAATTTTTAACTAGAGACATACTTGTTTTCAATTCCCATCTTTTGTAAAATAATAACACTGTCATGCAATAATATTAAATGGTCAAGTATTTGCTTGTAGTATGTTAAAGTCAAGTTGTGTCTGAATTTTCCATATTCTGTAGTATTCACGGATTTAAATTTCAATGGCTGAAGCTCTAAATGTGGATCGTCTTCGTCGTATTCAATAGAAAATTGAGGAATAATGTGTTTGACCAATTCTAAATATTCCAATAGCATTACTCTTTTACCATTTTCATTTGTTGTAAGTATTGGTTTATATGGGACTCTTACTTCAAATCTTGCACCTAACTTTTGGTCAATTTTATCCTTCATAGATTGAGGTTTATCTTCACAATGTTGCACCATTGTTTTCTTAAGGATATCGTCATACCCTCCTTGGAATGTATTTGAGTTTTGAATTTTAGAACCCATAATTGGATATCCAACTTTAATAAAATTAAAAGGTTTGAGTTAATTATTGGATCTATTCGTTCATGGGTATATATATATATTATACTAACCTTCAATGCATAATTTAAGTTGGCAATGTACATCTCTAATAAATTTTGTAGGAATATCCAGTGAACCTTCTTCTTCTAAGTTTGGATAAACTTCAGTTGACAACCCATATAATCTTTTTGTTTTATCTTGGTCAGTGATTTGAAACTTTGCAACTTTTGATAAAAGTATTTGAACTAACATGACAATATCAGAATGGTTCATAGATAGAATCTTTGAATCCATTTTTGTATAGAGTTTGGAAGTATGATAGGCATTTACATAAACTGGCCAATTGGGATTGTTTGATTTGATTGTAGCTCTAATACCATTTACACCAAATAAATTTGTTTCGCTGTCTATTAAAAAAAAAAGGTTAGTAAAATGGTAAATATTCCATTCTTTAACATACCTATTTGAAGATTGTATATTTCACTTTTAGACTTTCCAAAACTCATTACTTTGTCATATAATTCTTTTTCCGAAAAAAGTAAAGTAGTATTCAGCTTTGTACTATAAAAAGTGAAAGCCATATCAATAAATATGTCCTCAGGACTGATTTCATAGCATTTGTTGAAAAACTCTGCTTGCCAACTATCTTCATCAAATATTCCTATATCATTGTTTTGATCGGCAATAAAACAATTTTTGACATAATTCATTTCCATTGGTAGTGTCGCTTTCATTCCCTTTATCTCTACAAGAATGTAGAAGCCTTTCATCATTGATTCGAGTAAAGTACATTCTGGATCATTTTCCACATCTGAAAATAGATTCTTTCTTTTAAAAAATGATTTAGGATTTTTTTTAAAATCACTAAGAGATCGTAAGAATCTTGAAACTATTCTACTCTGAATTGGGATTCCAGCGGAATAATGTACATTTCCATGTGAACAAGCTTCCCGATAAGTTGAAATACTTGAAGGTATTCTTGACTTGTTAGTTTCGTCATAGAAAAACGAATTTCTAATGAGAGGAAGCAACAAATGATTCCATATCCTGTCAGTGTCATCTTGTTTCATAGCCCCATGTGAATTTGTAAAAGGTTTTAAAATCGATGGAACCATTAATCTGATTTTAATATTGTTAGATTCCATTAACAGCATATTTGAAATGGTATGATAGGGTGTTGGTGTATGATAATTCTTGGCCCAATCAATGTTTGATTTCAAAGGCGATAATTTAAAATCAGATTCAATAATTGAAATAATTTCAAATTGTTCTTTAACTAATCCTATGAAACTATCAACATCAACCAAAACTTTGATATAATCTTTGATACCCGGTTCTTCCAAAACCAAACGATAATCTAAATTACCAATCTTTCCATTGACTAAAAAATTTGGATTTTCTTTTAGATCGAAATTATCGTTGAAGAATTCTATTCCTTTATCTCTAATAAATGGAGGAGTGGGAGATGATGGAGGCGATGACTGTAGGGGTGATCTAACTGGTGATGATTCTGATGACATCGTTGGTTTAGGAGATACTGGTTTGGGAGATGAAAATAGTGGTTCTCTAAATGGATTTGATGACTGTAGGGGTGATGTAACTGGGGATAATCCTGATTCTATGGTTGGTTTAGGTGATACTGATGCGGAATATGAAAATGGTTGTTGATCTTGATACCATGATGGTGGGGATGTGGGTGATAAATCATCGATTAATTCTTCAAGAATCATGTATTCTACATGTTCGTTATTGTAGAGTAAATTTGCTGCAGCAGCCGTCATGGCTATTAGAGACTCTGTTGGTTTGAAGGGTAGGGAAGTTGATGTTGATGTTGATGTGTTTGATATGTTTGATGGTATTGATGATGTTGACGTGCTTGATATAGTTTCTTTTTGGGAGTACTCGGATGGTTTAACAGGGCCAAAAAATTGTGGGTCAGTGGACACAGAATTGTTAAAGAGTTCAGACGCAATATGGTATCTCCAAGAGAAATTAAATGATGGATGACCCGCTTGAAAGCTTTCAATATTCAACAAGTATCTTGCATTCAAGCAAACATGCAAGCCACAGTCATCACCATTTGGTTGAGGTTGTGTTTTAATGGTGATAACACTATGATTGGTTTTGCTTTTTATACACCCAAATGCCTGATCCTCTTGAGCTAGCCGATTTGGTAACTTTTCAAGTATATCAAATAAATATGATGATCCATTGCCTGCCGAATCATAAAATTCAATTATACCAGAACCAACACGAAAAACTGCTAATGTCCAATGAGATGAGGTGCATATTGGTAGCAAAATAGTTTGTACATTATTTGGTGGTCTTGGCAATTTTAAGGGTAATTTAAATTTCTCTTGGGATTGTCTGAATGAAACAAAAACTTCAGGGTCCAAGAGCCACTCTGTTCCATTTGAGGGTGATGTGAGAAGTTTGATGTAGGCACAAATGATTGTTGAAGAAAACCAACGCTCAAGAGTGTATCTACCATGGGTCGTGAGGATTATCTGGTAATCTTTCAATCCAATATTGCTGAAGATTAAGTGAGTTGGGTCTGACCTATGAAGACTCTCTATCTCTTTGAGAAATGAATCACTACGTTTGGTGTTGTCCTCTTGGTTCTTGAGAAGAGTGGTTTTTTCTATGGTTGTGGTTTGATGATTTGGTTTAATGGTTTGATCTTTTTGGTTATTATTATTATTAGGGTTGATGTTTTTTTGGGTGATTTGACTTTGTTTTACAGGTTCATACACTCTCCAAGGACTTGGTGATCCTATTGTAGTTGTATCCAAAATGCTTGTAAAAGTTGATTGTATTTGTGCCAAGTCAGAGTGTGGTGATAGTGATTTATTATGATTATTTTGGTACATGGGAGTTGGTTTTACATATCCTTCAAATGATAATTGAGATTTTGTTTTAGGTTCTATCTTATAATCAAATAAAGGGAGTTCATCAGAGCTATTGTCAGATGTTGGTGTAGTTGGTGGTGTATCAAATGGCGACACTCTGATGTAGACTTCATCATAAAGAGAATGTGGACTAATATTTGAAGGTATAGATGTGAAATGTTCTGGAATATCTATATCCATTTTAACTGTTGTATCTTTTGATTCCATTGAGCGAGGAGAATTGTAAGGAGATATCTTTACTCTGCAATTATCCATTTCCAAGATGATTTGTTTCGTCTCTTCTGACTCCAATGAAAATTTTTTAAATCTCCATTGTGTTTTGTCCTCTGGATCTTTATAATTATATAAACGTGGAACGGTAGTTTTATGATCTTCTTGATCAAATTCAATATGTGATTGTTTTCTTTTTTTGGGTATCATTTTATATTCACTTGTTTATAGGTGTTAATCTTAAAAAAAGTGTGGTTAGTTAAACCACAAATTATTCAAAAATAAACAATGGGATGAAATTCTAACATACTTAGTTTAGTTTACTTTGTAACTATCTTTGGTTGGTGACCCACTACGGTTGGCCACTTGAAGTTGATCTTGATTGTATGTATAGAATTGTATTGATTTGAAGTAAATGTTATTTAGCGTCAATGTTATTGGTTTACTTAATTATGTGTAAATGAAAATAAAGATATGTAAAAAACCAAATTTTTTTTTGATACTATAAAAAAAAATTGCGAAAAAATATAAAAAAAAAAAAAAAATTAAAAAAATATTTTATAGAAAGAAATAATCCACAAACAACATAAATCATTCAAAAAATTAATTATAATTAAAATTTAGAGTAGAAAAATAAAAAACTTTAAAAAAAAAAAAAAAAAAAATTTTAAAAAGTTGATTCTAATATAAATTCATAAATAAAAGGTATATTTTGATTTAAATTTTGTTAAAAAAATTAAAAATTCAAAAAGTTAAAAGATTATAGAAGGATATTATTACTTAAAAAAAAAAAATTAAAAATATATAAAATATTGGAATATTGTATGAAAAATTTATAGCTCACTTGTAAAATGTTCGTTTACTTGCTATTATATTTTTTAATTTTGTAAAATAAAGATAAAAATATTTTAAAACTACTTTTTTAAAAAAAAAAAAAAAATTGTTTAATTGCCTTAAAAATTGTTGAAAAAAAAGAGCGTCTAGATAATATTTATTGGCAAATGTAATAATATTATTAAAATTTAAAAATTGTTCAAAAATATTTGAGAAAAAAAAAAAAAAAAAAAGGAAAAAAAAAATTAAAAAGTTGATTCAGATATATATTCATAATTTAAAAGTATATGTTCAATTAAATTCATTAAAAAAATTAAAAAAAGCACTTTTTAAAGAAAACAAAAAAAATTTTTAAAAATAAAAGTAGTTTTTAAATATAGAACATGTTTATAAATTAGATTAATAATTTATAGCTCACTTATAAAATGTCCTTGTAAGTGAAAAAATATTTTTATTGTTTAAAATAAAAGAATAAAATTGTTGGAAATCAACTTTAAAAAAAAATAAAAAAAAAACTCAAAATTGCCTTAAAAATAATTTATAAAAAAGAGCGTCTATATTATATATATTGGCAAATGTACCAATAAAATTAAAAATTAAAAATTGTTCATAAATATTTTGTTTAAAAAAAAAAAAAAAAGAAAAAAAAAAAATTAAAAAGTTGATTCAGATATATATTCATAATTTAAAAGTATATGTTCAATAAAATTCATTAAAAAAAATGAAAAAATCACTCTTAAAGATTAAAAAATAAATAAATATTAATACTAAAAAGTAATTTAAAAATTAAAAAATTAAAAGTTTAGGTTTTTAATAATTTATAGCTCACTAATAAAATAATGTTAAAACTGTATTAACAAATTTTCGTTTCAAAACAAATGATAAAAAGTTTTGAAATCTACTTTTAAAAAAAAATTCTGAAAAACTGATAATTGTCTTAAAAATAATTTGAAAAAGAGAGCGTCATAAATTTATCTGTATTAAAATATACTAATAAATTTTTAAAAAAGAAAATAGAACAATTGTGGAAGCTTGAAAAAAATGCGTACTTAGAAAACATTTCTATGTACGAAGTATTTTCCTCATAAAATTTTCAATTTAGAATTTCATATTTTAAATTAACTCCTAATATATACGATAGATATATACTTATTTATACCACTTTCACTAAAATAATTACTTAAAAGTACTATTCTCTTATCTAAAAGTACCAATAGTTACCAAAGTCTCATAGTAACTCAAGTATTCCAGATTCAATCCTAACTGGTCGGGAGTTCGATTCCCAGTTACTACATTGATATATACATCAACGTGTTAGTGTATTGGGGTGATTGTAATCAATGGGTTTAGGGTTCTATAAGCTGCTACCAGGGCCAGGGCCAAGTTTAAATTTTTATATTGTACTCCATACTAAAATATAAGTATATTTATGAGTATATCACACCAATTAAATAACTTTTGAAGAGTTTGAGGTAATTCCAAAGGATTATTTTTGATTGAAAAACATCAAAATTTTTCTTAGTACCAAATACTCTCCTCACAAAAATTAGTATTTTTTAACTTCAAATTAAAACTTAACTCCTGATGTATACGATAGATATATACATATTTATACTACTTTCACTCAAATTAATGCTTAAAAGTACAATTATCTTAGATAAAAGTATCAATAGTTACGACTGTCTCATAATAACTCAACTTTTTATAGTTCAATCCTAACTGGTCGGGAGTTCGATTCCCAATTACTACATTGATATATACATCAACGTGTTAGTGTATTGGGGTTCTATAAGCTGCTACCAGGGTTAGGGTTAGGGTTCTATAAGCTGCTACCAGGGCCAGGGCCAAGTTTAAATTTTTATATTGTACTCCATACTAAAATATAAGTATATTTATGAGTATATCACACCAATTAAATAACTTTTGAAGAGTTTGAGGTAATTCCAAAGGATTATTTTTGATTGAAAAACATCAAAATTTTTCTTAGTACCAAATACTCTCCTCACAAAAATTAGTATTTTTTAACTTCAAATTAAAACTTAACTCCTGATGTATACGATAGATATATACATATTTATACTACTTTCACTCAAATTAATGCTTAAAAGTACAATTATCTTAGATAAAAGTATCAATAGTTACGACTGTCTCATAATAACTCAACTTTTTATAGTTCAATCCTAACTGGTCGGGAGTTCGATTCCCAATTACTACATTGATATATACATCAACGTGTTAGTGTATTGGGGTTCTATAAGCTGCTACCAGGGTTAGGGTTAGGGTTAGGGTTAGGGTTAGGGGTTAGGGTTAGGGTTAGGGTTAGGGTTAGGGTTAGGGTTAGGGTTAGGGTTAGGGTTAGGGTTAGGGTTAGGGTTAGGGTTAGGGTTAGGGTTAGGGTTAGGGTTAGGGTTAGGGTTAGGGTTAGGGTTAGGGTTAGGGTTAGGGTTAGGGTTAGGGTTAGGGTTA